TGGAGGAGATACTGAGCAGCCCTGGGTTTTAGGGCCTGAGCAAGAGCTTGTTTTGTGTCAGGGTTGCAAGGTGAGTTCATCTTTTCAGGATTTGTTTGAATACTGCATGAAATAAAAGAATGGAAATGTTACCCATCTCAGCCCAGGCTGCCACTTTGTTTCACCAGAGACGTGGGGCCGAGCAGACCAGGGTCAGGGTGTCAGGGCTGAAGGAAAGGCTTTTCTTCAGGGCCTTTCAGGCCTCTCCCTCAAGGTCTGTGGCAGTCCAGCCAGGCGGCTGCTGACTAGCATGATACCCCCAAACTCTCCTAAACTCCTCCTGGGATTGGGGGCTTGAGGACTTCCCAGAAGAGCAGAGGAGAGAGGACGGGTTCCGGTTTAGGCTGCCAGCCAGGATTCTCACACTGCACTGCTGTGTGGCCCTCCGACTTTGGGTCTGTCCTGAGAACGGGGATGATTCTACCTGGATTCTACCTCCTGGCCGTCTGAAGTTCAAAAGGGATATGAATGAAGAGCACTGGGCAATGAGCCCTCCCACCCCCCAGGGGCTCAGCCAGCCAGGGTTAGCAGCTCTTTCTCAAGATCAACGATCCTTACTGCAGCACATCTTTCTAGATGAACTTTTTCTAAAGTTCATTTTTGTATTTTGGAAGGGTGGAATATTTGCATGTAGGATAGAAACTACACTTAAAAGCCAAAAAGCATATGTGTTTGCAGGGCTGCATAGGGACTAGAGATAGCTGTTAGGGCATGGTATTTGAAAGCCCACTGCCCTCTCAAGAGGTGGGCAGTGTGTGTGGCGGGGGGGGGGTAATGGCATCAATGCTTCCACATCTGAGGACCCCTTTTAATGTTTAGTCTTTACAGTGCCTTAGTCTTTACAGTGCCCCCCACGTGATGACTTGACACTAGTGGCTGTGGCTGGATGATTATAGCACAGTCCCTGTGCCATTAACCTGCAGTCCTCTGGGATTTTGCAGCCCACTATACAACTATGGGAGTAATGCATACGGTCCCCTGTCTCTAAGCCTATATAGATGGGAGCTCAAATTCCAGCTTTGCAGGTTCCGAGCTGTTGACTTTTGTGCATGTTACCTGGCTTTCAGGCCTCAGCTCCCTCATCTTCAAATGGGAATGACTGAGAGATTATCTGTCTGTAGACCTAGTGCATTTAAAGTTCTTCATACTCTGCCTGGCATTTGGTAAAGGTTTATTAAATGTTGGCCGGTTTATTAATGTTATTATTATTGTTACTATTATTTCCCCTTCATTCTTAACTCCATTGGTACATCTTATCTTATTATTATTATTTTTTTTTCTAAGATGACCAGTAAGGGGATCTTAACCCTTGACTTGGTGTTGTCAGCACCACACTCTCCCAAGCGAGCCACGGGCCGACCTTGGTACATCTTATCTTATTATTATTTATTTTTTTTCTAAGATGACCAGTAAGGGGATCTTAACCCTTGACTTGGTGTTGTCAGCACCACACTCTCCCAAGCGAGCCACGGGCCGACCCTGGTACATCTTATCTTTGCACGTGTTATTATCTAATATGAATACCCTTATGAACTATACAGGCTGAGTTAATCTATTATATAATTTATACAAATAATATATATATAGATGAGACTGCATGGTGGTAATAATATTAGTAATAATAATAGCTGTTAACATACAGAGTGCTTATTTTGAGCCAAGCATTATTAGACACACTTGAAATTAATCCCCACACCCCAGTGAAGTAACCACTATTGCACCCCATTTTACAGGTTAAGAAACTGAGACCCAGAGGGGTGAAGTCACTTGTTGGTGAGTGTCAGAGCTGGGATTCACATGCAGACAGCTTTGCTCCTGAGCCCGAGCTCTTAAACCAGCCCTGTGCAGGACACACCTAGCTGGTCCCACATGTATCCCTAATTTCTACTGTGACATTGGCAAATCCCTTTATCTCTTTGGGCCTCAGTTTTTGCACCTGGGCCATATGGATGCGTGATTGCCAGCCTCCCTCCTCCTCTTGCTGTCATTCTGCCTTCCCACTCCCATCACATTCCCTGTCTTGGGGTAACCCGCCCCCCCACCCCCAGCAGACCAGCCAAGGGACTATCTGGAGGGTAGTGGCCAACACAGTCCCCACCCCAGAGACCAGCAGCTGAAAGAGCCCCTAGGTGGGCCCTGTGCAGGCAGGCAGCAGTGGTGGCCAGACCGCCTGTGATGTAATGACCGATTAGGAACTTCCTCTTGGAAGCCCGGCTTCCTCTAGGAGCCAAAGGTGCTGGAGCTGAGGTGGGGGGTGGGGACGGGTGGGTGGGAGCGAATAAGAGGAAACTCCTGTCAGCTGGGCCCGGCATTTGGAAGGAGTTCAGCAGAGAGGCTCATTCTAAGCTGTTGACCATTAACATGGCCCTGTGCACATTCCTTCTCTGCTTTTACTGCCAGAGCCCAGTGGATAAAGGACTGGTCTTCCCCTCCCTTAACAAAGGAAAAAAAGAGCCTCTAATTAATGCTGCATCTGTAGACTTGCTGCAAAACTTGAAGCCGTTTCTGTAGCTTAAAATGACAAAAGAGGGTTAAGTGGGAACTCCTTTTTCCCTTCTAAGTTTGATAACAAAAACTACTTATCTAATGGGCAAACAAGGCTTTAAAAGGGGTGTTAGGTTAACCAGATGCAGGGCCACGTAATTACTCCCAGGCCTGGGAGCCACAGATGAAAAGCTGCCGGTTGGACGGGAACTTGAAGCCACAAGCATGACATGGGACAGAAGAAAGGAGTTTTCCAGGAGGGCAGGAGGCCCCAGTGCAGCACCATGAAAAAGGAGATTGGAAAAGCCAGCCCCAGGCTCCTCTCTGCCTCTGTCAACAACTTGCTGGGTGACCGTCGGCAAGTCACTTAACCTCTCTGGGCCTCTGAGACTCCGAGTCTCTCTTTTCATCTCTCGGTGGGGTCTGGGCCCATCTGCCCTTGTTTTGGGCTCATTGATGTATGGCTGAGCAGTCCCTTTGCATCCAGCCCCTGCAGAGGCAGGAAGGTTGCTGTGGCCCAGGTGGGTGTGAAGCAGCCGCAAAGATTTGGATGTGGAGGGGCCAGGCCTCTTGTGAATGCTCTGAGCCTTCGAGTCTAATCTGGGTGCCTTGTTGATTCCTTCATGGGATGGCCAAGCCTAGGGCAGTTTGGCCAGAAGGGAAGGGGGAAGCAGGCGGAAAGCAAGCTGCAGTGCATGCTCAGGCTTTTGGAGCATGCAGCCACGGGGGATCACACAGGAACGTTCTTGCCCTTTGTTTTGACAAAAAACTGCTGATTCGAAGAAGCTAAAGGCTTTTCTTGGGATTTCAGCTCTCCCTGCCTCCCCCAGACTGCAGTCGGCCCCTCAGTGCCCCAACACCCCCACAAAATTACACGTTGGGCTCACGGTACCCTCACTGGGCAGAGAGGCCAAGAGGAAGGAATGCCAGTCATGGAGGGGCCGGCTTCTGTGCAGGGGAGAAGGCCTATCGTTGAGGCCAGTTGCCTCCTGCCCAGCACAAGCATCCACCACCCTCTGGTGGCAGGAATGTGGGCACCACCAGGAGGCAATAGGGTCTGTCCCCGGACCACTGCGGATCCCTGCTGAAGCCACTCTAGGATAGCCACAAGACATTGCCACTCTCTTCTTTTTAATTTTTTCAAAGGTATCATACCTACAATGAAATACACAGCTCTTAAGTGTATAGTCATGACTTTTGACAGCGTATATGCTGAGTTCCCATTGTTCCAATCAAGATATCAAACATTTCCATCACCTCGGAAAGTTCCCTTGTGCCCCTTCCCAGTCATCCCCCTCCCTAGGGGAAATCACTGTTCTGGTTTCTGTCATTGTGGTTCAGTTTGCTGACTTAAGAATTGCTTATCAGTGCAAACCAACAGTGTATCATCTTCTGTGTCTGGCTTCTTTCACTCAGCAGTGTGCACTTGAGATTTATCCACGTCATCGCATGTCTCAGTACTTTGTTCCTTTTTATTGGTGAGTAGTGTTCCATTGGATGGATGTGCCTAGTTTTTGTTTATCCATTCTTCTGTTGATGGACATCTGAGCGGATTGCCAAGTTTGGGTGGTTATGACAAGAGCTGCTATGAACATTCACTAAATCACAGAAATTCGGAGCTGGGGAAAATAATGATCTCATTGTTCAGACGGGAAGACTGAGGCCAGGAGAAGGGAGATGGCCTGCTGGATTTAGGAGGCAGGACTCCTGAGTCCTGCGCTAGTGCCGCTCTGCCAGATCTACCCCAGACACAGCGCCTCTCTCCTCCCCCCGGAAACCTCCCAGTGGGACCCAGAGTCTGGCTGGGAATTAGGCCAGGCCCTGAGCAGGGGGTAGTGAGCGGGAGTTTCGGTCAGAGCTCGGTCATCTTTGATGTTGTTCACTCGGGTCTGACTCCCTGGTATTTATTTACAATTAAAGAGCTGGTTCCTAATTAGGCTGATGGCTGTGGGAGATGGCGAGAACACAGCCTTGGAGCCACTAAGAGAAAAAGATCCTTCTCCAAGAGACTGTCCCCTCGCATCCTAAGTGGTAGCCCAGGCTATGGACGGACGAGAGGTGTGGTGGGTCGAGTGGGGGCTGCACAACTGTGGGAAGTGTGAGGGGACCATGGGTTTGGGGGCGCCGGCAGGCAGCATGGCAGCTTGTGTCGGACATACCACATGAAATCCGAATACACAGACGCATGTGTGTGTGAGACAGTGGAGCCCCGACAGGGCTCGTCTTTGTCTAGACGTGCAGTTATTCATTGCTTCTTCATTCTTTCAGTCCTCCACTAACCGAGCCCCTCTTTCACCACAGGTACCAGGCTAGATGCTAACCCTTAACATTTGTAAAGTGCTTTACAGTTTGCAAAGGGCATTGCCATCCACTGTCCTATTGAAACCTTCCATGGTGATGATCCTGGGCCATGATCCCTAAGGATCCCTGGCCTTTGAAGGGAATGACAGCACTGGGACCAATAAACAAGACAGCTGTTTCTTTGTGCACCCAATTGATTTGTTGCCGGAGTTTCCAGAAAATCCAAAAATAGATTGTGTGAGCAAGGTACTCAATTATTTTTATTTTTTTAAAGATGACTGGTAAGGGGATCTTAACATTTGACTTGGTGTTGTCAGCACCACGCTCTCCCAAGTGAGCAAACCCGCCATCCCTATAAGGAGTTTCCAGAAAATCCAAAAATAGATTGTGTGAGCAAGGTACTCAATTATTTTTATTTTTTTAAAGATGACTGGTAAGGGGATCTTAACATTTGACTTGGTGTTGTCAGCACCACGCTCTCCCAAGTGAGCAAACCCGCCATCCCTATAAAGGGATCCGAACCCGTGGCCTTGGTGTTATCAGCACCGCACTCTCCCAAGTGAGCCACAGGCCGGCCCCAAGTTACTCAATTGTGAATCAGTCCATTTTACAAGTGGGGAGACTGAGGCTTGGGGACATTCAGCAGCTTGTCCATGGCCACACATCCAGTCAGTGGTGGCAGCCTTGGGTCTGCCTCACTCTGAAACTTATCGGATCATGCGACAAGGATGAGAGTTGAGTTCTGGGGTCTCGAGTTCTGGTCTCAGCTCTGCCACCTACTGCCATGTGTCCTTTGGCAAGTCACTCTATACCCCTCCCTGGGGAGGACGCCATCTTCAGGGCACAAGGTCATTGGACTCCATTAGTGGTTCCCACAGGCCAGTCTGTAAAGTTCTCATTGGTCCATGGTGAGAGAAATAAAAATAAGCTAGAAAATAAGTCTGTACATGATAAAATAAAGCGGTGCTAACCCTGTGTCATTTCCAACCCCCCTGTTAAAAAATGTTTAGGTTTTGCAGAAGCCCAAAGCGTCTGGTCCCATTGGATAAGATGATGTCAGGGGGTCCTCAAGCTCTGGAGCCTTGAGACTGAGGGCTGAGTGGGGACAGAGAGGGCTGAGAGCAGTGGGGGGCTCACTCTCAGGATCAGGCATGAGACCTAAGTCCCTGCCCACCACCCCTCCACTGCCCTCAGGCCTGAGGTCATCAGCCTGCCTTGGGTTAGGAACAGTATGCAGACACTGGGATGCATTTTATTTCCTCCTCCTTCCATTTTAGCATATTCTAAGAGAACATGTCTTAGGGATATAGGCAGCCTTGGGACAGAGGCAAGGGGACTGAGACCCACTCCTTCCTACTGGGAGAGTGTAGACCCACTGGATGCACTGACCAGCAGTACAGGCACCTGTTCAGGCCAAGGGAGGGGGCTGCAGTTAAGGCATCCCAGGAGGGAGAGGTCAGAGAGGGCTTCCCAGAGGCAGCTGTCTATCTCCCAGAACTTGGGAGACTTGGCCAGGGCCCAGGCCTGATGAGGTGTTACCAGTCCGCTCGACCAAAGAGGCCGCGGGGGATGGGGTCTGGCCCAGGCCCTGAGCCAGATGGCTGGGGCAGTCGGGGCCTTAGGGTGGCCTTGTGGGGTTTGTCCCCAATCATAGGCACTGGGGCCAGGCTGGGGGGACACAGGTCTTGATGAGGTGGGGGTGGAGGGCAGTGTTTGGCTTGGCTGGGGTGGGGGGAATTGAGAGGAGGGGGATAGGAAGTCCTAGCTGGCCTAGAATTGAAAAACCTTCTGGAAGCTGGAAAGGGGAAGTGCCCCACCCTCCAGGTCTATTACCCCCAGGCACACTCTCTGAGGGCTAAACTGCTTCACTTCTTTGACTTTTACTGCTTCTTTGCCTTTTACTGTGGAGTGGCTACACCCTGGGGCAGAGCTGCCACTTTATGGCTGGGTGGCCTTATCAGTAAGAGAGGGTAGCAGTAGTCCGTCACTCAATGAGGCAGTGAAGTGAGCTCTCCAGGGGTGGGGGTAGTGACCCCACAGTTTGTGGGTACAGAGAGGGAAACTGAGGCGTGAAGAAGCGGAGGGATTTGCTTAGTGCACAAGTTTTAGGGAGGAGTCTACCCAGAAGTGTGGCGTGGCAACAAGGTTGGCTCCAGCTCACACTGGTATGTACCATGGACCAGTGATAGCACCTCCCTGAGCCTCAGTTTTCTCACCTGTGAAATGGGGTGATAAAGAGATGAAAAACCACTTTTGTGAAAAAGGCACCTAGCTCATAGAAGGCACTCAGTGATGCCTGCTGCCCGTCCGGACTTCCAACATACTTCATTGCATCCCTACCTCGCTGTGCCTAGCCCACTAAAGGAATTCTCAGCTGGTGAGCAGCGTTGATGCCGAAGTTTCATGGCCAGGCTGGCATGGTGCCGCTTTCCTGGCCCTCGGGGGCTCCCAGACCTGTGCCAGATGGATGGCTGGAGGGAAGGACAATGGCTTGGGGTGTTAGAGCTCAGGGTCTGGCTGTTCTCAGCTGCCCACTCCTGGGGCTGGCCTAATGACTGCAGCCTGGTCACCGACGATGGGCTTGCTGTTTCTATGCCCACTGGCTAAGGGGTGGGTCAGGGAAGGGCAGGGAGCAGAGCCTCTTCTTTCCCTTCCTGACCATCAGGGGCCTAGATGGAGACTATGAGGCAAAATGATCCAAGTTCTGGAGCTGGCGTGAGGACATAGAATCTCCAGCAAACCTGGGGACCTGTGGCTGGTAGCTCAGCGCCAGGCCCCTCAGGCAGACAGTTTCCTGCTAGGTGGGTGGGTTGGCCTCTTGGTGTGTAAGAGGATGTCAGGGGGCCCTGTCACCCTGCTCCTCTGAGGCATCTAGGCAGGGCTGGGAATGAAGGCAGACAGAGCTGAGCTGGCCTCACCTCAGCTCCCAAATGAAGTTGTTGAAGTGTTGTCTCCTTTGGGTTTGGCTGGACTTTGATCAGTTTCCCTTGGAGAAGCCGAGCTATAAAATGCCTATCTTTGCCTCCAGCAGAATGTCTTCCTCTGTGCAAAGGCCCCAACCAAGGCCTGGCACCTTGCTAGACAGTCATGGGTGCCTGTCTGCCTGCCTCTCAGAGCCCTGAGCTTAAAGGAAAGACCGATGTCAGAAGGCTTTAGAATCTGAGAAGCTGGCCACACACTAGAGCTGCCCTGCAAGATCGGTCTTTACTTTGGTCTCAGAAAATTGTTAAACTCCAGACATGCAGAGATGCCCCAGGTTAGAGTAGGAAGAGGTTTCAATAACATCTAGGCCACCCCTTTGCTGTACAGTGGGGAAACTGAGGCCCAAAGAGGAATGACACACACCTCAGAGAACTGGCAAGCTCCAGAGCCCTCGAAGAGCAATTTTCTTTCGTACATAGGGACCCTCAGCCCCTCTGGCCACACAGAGGTGGCTGTGCTTCTGGTGAAAACCTGCATTTCCTGCCAATTAAGCCATCTCAGGGAGGGGTGGGGTACCCGGGAGACTAAGGCTGGGACCTGTACAGCACCTTATTTATAACAAGGCCATGACAGGAATCCCACAGCTCCAAGCTGGAAGGGATCCTGGGGGCCAACTCCCCCTAGTCCCCTGACTTCCTATGCACGAGTCCCCTCCGAGTGGTGATTTATAGCCCCTAATCGCCCAACCCTGCTCTGTTCAGGCTGAGGCTTGGACTGCTGGGTTGGAGTCCTGGCATGCCACACCTAGCTGTGCGGCCTTGAGCAGCTGGTGCTCAGCTGTAGAATGAGGACAGATGGCCTCCTTGCAGAGTGACAATGAGGTCACTTGTGTAAAGAGTGAGTAGTACAGTGCACCACACCTGGTAGGTCACGGGTACTCAACTGTCAGCCTCTCCTTTGGGTTTGTGCAGGTGTCTGTCTCTCCTGCTAGTGTGTAAAGTATTCTCGGGGGCAGGAGTTGGGCGTGTTCATGTCTGTGCATGCACAGCACTTAGCGCACAGTAGGTGCCCTGGTGTGCACTCTGGGGACTCACAACTTGTTTTCTCCTTCATGTGAGGGTGTGTGTGTGTGTGTGTGAGAGAGAGAGAGAGAGAGAGAGAGAGAGAGAGAGAGTGTCCCCTTGTGTGCTAAATTTCTTGAGGTCCATTTGGCACCCAGTAGGTACTCACACCCCTTGCTGCGAGAAACCCCAGCCCCGCACCCCTGAATAACACCGCGGTGCCCTGTGCTTGTCCCGCAGACGCCAGCATGTCTCCGGACGCCACCAAGCCGAGCCACTGGTGCAGCGTGGCCTACTGGGAGCACCGGACGCGTGTGGGCCGCCTCTACGCGGTGTACGACCAGGCCGTCAGCATCTTCTACGACCTACCTCAGGGCAGCGGCTTCTGCCTGGGCCAGCTCAACCTGGAGCAGCGCAGCGAGTCGGTGCGGCGCACGCGCAGCAAGATCGGCTTCGGCATCCTGCTCAGCAAGGAGCCCGACGGCGTGTGGGCCTACAACCGCGGCGAGCACCCCATCTTCGTCAACTCCCCGACGCTGGACGCGCCCGGCGGCCGCGCGCTCGTCGTGCGCAAGGTGCCGCCCGGCTACTCCATCAAGGTGTTCGACTTCCAGCGCGGCGGCCTGCTGCAGCACGGCCCCGAGCCCGACGCCGCCGACGGCCCCTACGACCCCAACAGCGTCCGCATCAGCTTCGCCAAGGGCTGGGGGCCCTGCTACTCCCGGCAGTTCATCACCTCCTGTCCCTGCTGGCTTGAGATCCTCCTCAACAACCACAGATAGCGGCGGCCGTCGAGGCCCCGGCCCCGGGTGGAGGGGCAGGCCGGGAGGCCAGGCCACCGCCTTCTGCCCACCTCCAGAGGGGCCCATGCCCAGAGACACAGCCCCCACGGACGAACCCCCCCCCCCAATATCATCTACCTAGATTTAATATAAAGTTTTATATATTATATGGAAATATATATTATACTTGTAATTATGGAGTCATTTTTACAATGTAATTATTTATGTATGGTGCAATGTGTGTATATGGACAAAACAAGAAAGACGCACTTTGGCTTATAATTCTTTCAATACAGATATATTTTCTTTCTTTTCCTCCTTCCTCTTCTTTATTTTATTTTATTTTTTTTTAAGAAAATGATACAGCAGAGCTAGGTGGAAAAGCCTGGGTTTGGTGTATGGTTTTTGAAATATTAATGCCCAGACAAAAAGCTAATACCAGTCACTCGATAATAAAGTATTTGCATTATAGTTTTTTTTTTTTTTTAAACTGTCTTCTTTTTACAAAGAGGGACATGCAGAGCTTCAGTGGGTTTCCAACCCATCAGGCGCCCTGAAACTTAACTGCAGGCTTTTTACTGGATAAATAATAGGGGGAATAAGTTGAAAAGGGAGGAAGGACACATTTACTCTTAAGTATACTAGAGAACGGTCTGTTGTTCCTTCCTGCACATGGCTGTGATGTGTCCACTGGGTAGGGACAGGTGAGGGAAGGGAGAGTACACGGGCCATCCATCTTCGACAAGCTCTCCCAGTCTGATGGGGATGGTTCATGCCCTAGCCTGGAGGGGCCCCTAGTCTGATGAGGTAGGCCCAGGTCCATGCCTCTCATCTCTGAGCTATGCATAAGCTAGAAGACAGTATTTCTCACCACTTTGGGGAAATGGCCTATGGAAGAAAGACTGAGATGGTGGGCCTTGGGCCCACCTACCACCTTGTAGAACTACCCCGAGTCCCAGGCTGAGGATCTTCTTAGGATCTAGATAGGCTCCCTGCACCCTCCCCCCCCACCATAAATAGCTCAGAATCTGCCCATCTGGGGCTATATTAATGATTTATATAAGGGCAGATGGTTTATTTCTACTTTATGAAAGGGGAAAGTTGAGGTTCTGGAAGGATAAATGACTAGCTTGTGAGACAAAATCAAGGTTAGAAATTACATCTCATAGTAGGACCAGGGCCATATCATCAGATCAGAGTTTCTCAAGAATATTCTCAAAAAAGAAGGGCTCCTTGGCCAAATAGCTAAGGGGAATGTTAACATCGTATATCTTCTTTCTTGGAGATTTACATTAACATATTAAGTCCTCTGAGAAGTCCTGTGTATTATCTCTTGCTGCATAATAAATTACCCCAAGACTTAGCAGCTTACAGCAGCTAACATTTATTATCTCCCACAGTTTCTATGGGTCAGGAATCATGGAGCAGCTTAGCTGAGTGGTTCTGGCCCAGGGTCTCTCATGAGATTGCAGTCAAGCTGTGGGCCAGGGCTGCAGTCATCTGAGGCCTGACCGGGGCTGGGGGACTTGGTCCAAGCTCACTCATCACGTGGCTGTTGGCAGGAAGCCTCAGTTCCTTGCCATGTGGGCCTCTGTTGGGCTACTCACGACACGGCTGTCTGAGAGCAAGTGATTCAAAAGAGAGATCGAGAGTGAAGTCTTCTAGAACCGTATCTCAGAAGTGACAGACATGCCATCACTTTTGCCATATTCTGTTGATCACACAAACCATCCCTGTTACAATGTGGGAGGGACTACGCAAGGATGTGAATGCTAGGAAGCAGGAACCATGACCACCACAACTACCATTTAACTTTGTTTCCCAAAGTTATTTGCCAATTGACTGTCTCCGCCTGTTGCTCCTGTCTCCATACCAAGGCACGCTGGTGCCTCTGGGCTGACCATAGCTGGCCATGCCAGGGTGCTCCGCTCTGAGGCCCTGCCCTGAAGACGCTCAGCAGAGATGCCTGACTCCCTGGTATATTCCTGGTACATTCCCTGGTGGGGTCAGGGTGGGAGGAACTTCAGATTCATAGGCAGTTAGCAGGTGCCCAGCCAAAAGGAATAAGGAGCCAGTTCCGTGGGAGTGCCCAGAGGAACCGGGAGGCCTCCCGGGAGGTCTCAGTGCTTGAGCTCTGGTCCTCACAGGACAAATGAATGGCAAGCTGGCAGGGTAGGGGTGGCAGATGGAGCAGGAGCAAAGAGTTTGGAGGTGGTAGAGACCAGGAAGCAGGGGAGGGAGTTTCTAGACACTCATACTTTGGAGCCAGGCTACCTGGGTTCAGATCCCAGCTCTGCCACATAGAGTGACTTCAGTGACTTCTTGACTTTTTAATATGCCTCAATGTCGTCATCTGTAAGATGGGAATAAAATTGTCCCTACTTCAGAAATAGGTGCGAATTGGGAGCATTAGGCACACCATGCAGTACCTGGTCTAGCATCAATACATAGCAGCTGTTATTGACACCGGGCCAGGGCTGGAAAGGGAGGCTGGGGGTGCTCAAACACCAAGATGAGGAGCTGGGGTGAGATTCAGGAGGCAGTAGGGAAGATGGGTTGGTTTCTGAGTGGGCCAAGGAGGTGAACTGAGCTGGGCTTTCTTCTTAAAGGTGATTGCAGGGGGTTTAAAGGCTTGGAGGGGCATCCCAGGCTGCTGGCAGGAACTGGTCCCCTGAGCATGGTGCCCACCAATGCTGGTCTCTTGAGAGGGGCTCCTTGCCCTTAGAGCAAGCAGCCAGTCACCCCACGACCCCTGGATTTGGAAGTGGTGGTCATAACCCTCCATCATCAGGGAGCAAGGGGGATAGGGATTGACATCTCCACTCTATGGATGAGGAAACCAAGGCCCGTAACAGGGAAGTGCTTACCTCAAGCCTGTGATCATTGACTACTGGGGTATGACGCAGGTTTCTTGCCTGCCACCCCAGAGTCTACTCCACACAGACACAGACCAAAAGGTGACATCCTTCCATGTCCCAGACTCTCAGAGGGTGTCCAGCCAGGCAGGTGACATACTTTCTAGAGCTAAGCTTTGCTGGCCATGCTGGTCTTCAAGGAAAACTTTCTCCTGGTTCTCCTGTCAGCCCAGACTCCTCCATCCCTTTGCCACCATCCCCAGGCCTGAGCCTAATGTGGGAGTCCTCATGCCTCCCACTCCCTCTGCTGCCCTCCCTGGCCAACCAATGGCCCGCCTCTCTGAGCACTGAGCAGAGCAGTGTCGTTCTATGTGAGATGGGCTTGGAGCAATAGCTAGTAACACTAACTTACCATTGGTGAGCCCTTGCAGTTGGAGAAATGGATGCTTACATCAATACTGTCATTTGTCCAAACTCCCTGGGGGAAGGTACAAGCTCTTTGTCTCAAATGCCAGCCTGGGGGCACATCCGTGTATTGTTGTGATTGGTTTTGCTGGAGTGGGCTTGTCCCTTGGGGGACAGTCTGCAAGTCTGAAGGACTAAACCCCAGGGGCCCAGGGTCATCAACCTCATAGCCATCTTGCTGTGAGCACCCTGATTTCAGTCCCAGGCCTGCCCTATCTGAGGCTGAGGACTTCTCTGAGGTCCATGAGTGACCTCAGGTGCCAGGGAGAGGCCGTATGGCTGTCTTTCTTGGGGGGGACTGACCAACCAGTTCCAGCCCCTCAGTTTACAGATGGGGAGACCAAGTCCCAGAAGTTGGCTGAGTTGCTGAGTTCACCAGCAGTGGCAGGACCTGCCGTCCTCCCTCCTGTCCCAGTCATGGTGCTCAGCAGTAACTCTGTGGTTTCTTCCAGACCACCCAGGGATCTGGTGACTCAGGCTCCGATGGAGACACTTTCTAAACAAGGACTGGGTCTCTGGAGAGTGTGGTGGGAGCCTGGTCCCTGCAGGCCCTGGGAAGCGAGGACAGTGGGACCTACTGCCCCCACACCCAAGCTCAAGCACGGCGGTGCCCCAAGGGGATTCCTGCAATAGACTAGGTTTGTAGAGAAGGTTTAGTCTCTCCATTGTCCTCTCCTCTCTACTCCACACCTCACCAGCCCCTCCCCTGCCTCAGTCGCTTGGTGTGTCTGTGGTGGGTAAGGGTGGAGGGGTTTGATCTAGGACTGAAAGAAGCACACTGGGAGAGAGCTGAGATCCGGAGAGTTTGTGTTCATGTCTCAGGTGAGAAAATTCAAGGCCCAGAGAGGAGGTGTGAGTGTCCTGAGGTCACACAGCATGTGCACACTTGTTCTGGGGACTTCCTGGTGCTCCACACCTCCATAGTCCACTCCCCTACCCACCCCACCCCCTCATCCCACACATTTCAGGGGCTTTAATGTTCTAGCTGTCTTTGGCTGCAGCTGCCTTGTTCCTATCCTGACTCTGCCACTTACCAGCTGTGTGACCCTGGGCAAATTACTTAACCACTCTGTCTCAGTTTTGTCATCTGTAAAAGTAAATAATAATATTATCTACCTCCTAGGGTTGTTGGGAAGAGTAAATGAATTCATGCCTGTTAGGCACTCAGCACTGGCATGTCTTAGGCTCTCAGCAAGTGTTCACTAGTATTCTTTGGGGGCCTGTAAGGCAGTTCAGGGAGGTGAGAAAAGCTTTGGTTTAGGGACTCAGCAAGTGTGAGGATTCAAATCCAGATCCCAGCCTCTGCCGGACAGCTCCTGCCCGTCTCCTGCCCCTCTTCTGCCCCTCTCCCACCCCCTCCAATTCATTCTCCACCCAGAGTGATGGTGTGCACCAAACTCTGACAGTGCTCCCTCTCCACCAGTGCTGGGATGACTCCCTGCATTCTCCAGCTGTAGAACTAGCTCATAAAGTGGCCTGTGAGGCCCCAAGGGAATCTGGCCCTGCCCATCATTACCTGGACCCTTCAAAAACAACACTGCAGACACTTCTCTCTCTTTCTCTCTCTCTTTCCCCCTCCAGGCCTTTGCCTAAGCTGTCCCTTCCTCTCAGTCATCCCCTAGCCTGCCCCATCCAAGCTCTGATCACACTGCTATCCCCTCTCTCTTCCCTTGGAATCTCCTGGAAGCAGAGAGGTCTCGGGTCCCATTCGCCCCTGTGTCCCTGGGCCAGCCTAGTGCTGGGCACCGAGGATGGATCCCTGGATGTTTGTGGAATGAAAGGGTCATGGAGGGAATTGATGTGGGTGTGTTTTATAAACTCTAAAGGACCAAGCAAGCATCCGAGGGGGGTGTGTTTATTAGTATCATGTGTCTCCATGACAACCCCCAGCTGGCTTCTCCCGACAGGCCCCTAAGAACACTCACCCCTCCCCCTTCCTCAGGCCTGTGGTTCTGGGGGGGGGGGGGGTCACATCCCGTAGCCCTTTCTAACTAC